TATCAAAACAGATATTATATAAATGTTACTCTTTGTCCTATCGTTTCTCAAATTTATTAAACCTCATGTTCTGAACTGGCCTCATATAATGGTGACTACCTAAGGTAATTATCATCAACATGTTGCCAAGAATTTTTTCTAAAATGGTGTCTACGATAGCAAATGAAAGTAAGAAACACCACAAATAAACTAACAGATAAATAAAAATAAAATGGAACAATCGTTTGGATCAGAAGAGGCATTGGGTAAAGAATTAGCTATGCAAGGCTATGTCCTATTTATCCATCTTGAGTATTTTGCAGTTTGTGGAATAAGCAACAGTTCTCACATTCATGCTTAGTGAATAGTGAATAAAAACAACAATCAGCAAACCACTTAACAATGACCCACCACAACCCTGCTATTTCTGAATTTACCTTATCGTTTTTTTTCCTTTCACATAAGACTATAATTATGATTTCAACTTCCTCATCGGATCCCCAGTCATGAATCTATCTAACATATTCAGCTGAAGGCTGTCAAGGATCTACTGATTCCAAAATGCAATGTACTCTCCCTTCGTCCTTCACTCCTAAAATCTCTGAAGACCTTGACACTGTTGACTCCTGCCTACTCCTTGTGGAGGTTAAAGTCCTTCCTTGAATTCCATACCATACTTTCTCTTACCTAAGATCTTCTGCAGATGGGAGAATGACCCTATTTTAGGTTGTTATCAAGACCCTACCCAGTGTCACTTTCTCCAAAGATTTGCCTTTTCTCTTAAGAGAACATTTTCTACATTTTACACCAAAATGTTAAGTATCATATCCATAGGCTTTGTGCTCAGATCTACAGATCCTACCTTAAGATCCCTATCCAGGTCAAATCTCTTGTCCCAAAGGTCTCAGGTCTGTGGGTCATTGGTATTTCTATGATCCACCAGCACCTCATTTTTCTTTCCAAACAAGTGACTTTGGCTGATTGCACTCTCATTCATCTTAGCCTTCCCATCTCACCACATGAAGGCTATCTCTAGTCTCTTCTCATTTTAGGGCTCCATCTCATTTTTACTCAACTTCTGCAGCTATGCACATAGTCAAATGCCACTCATAGTGAAAAAAAATTCATTATAACTGTGTTATTTTCACTACTACTGCCCTAATTTATGAATGCAGCAGCCTCACTGTCCTCTTTTGTTCTAGAATGTCCCAGCCCTTAAATCCCCTCAGAGTAAACTCTCTGAAAGGTAATCTCTGATATCACTCCCCACTAACACCCATAAGGATTCCAACCAATGAATATTCATCAACCTCTGTAGTCCAGCCTGACCGATTTCTTCTTATTCTCCTCTATGAATCGTAAAAGCTTATCATCAGCTCACCACCACTCTTGTTTTCAAGGTTTAATTTGAGGAAAAAACAATCTCATGTAGTGGGGTGACCCCCCAAATGCAGGTTCCTAGAACTCACTCAAGACCTGCTAAGTTTGAACCCTGGTGTTTAGCTCTAGAGGCATTAATTTTGTAACCATCTTCCTGGGTCATCCTTGTGTACCTTGAACTTCCAAAGCCTTTGCTCACTCCATATCTGTTTCTCTTTTCCAGATATTATTAACCTGGAATAATTTCCCACTCCTGCTCTCCAATTTCCCAGGAAAACCTTGTTCATCTGTGAACAATTTTCTCACCATCCCAATAGGAAGCCTGTTATGCCTTCTGTATGGTTTGGAGATGGCATATATCACACATTGAGTTGCATTTTAATAATTAAAGAGCTTAATTTATCCTCTTATTAGATTGTAAGCACCTTCTATACTATACATATTTATCTCTCTAATAATGATTAGTAACTAATAACATAGTCTGTATTACTATTGCATGAACAATTATTATCCTACTGAAAATATTTCTGTTTCACTTGGACCATTGTATTAGGAGAGTCAATATGAATCAGTAGTGCCCCACTGGCTTCACCAGTATTGCATTCAGAGTTCTACATATTGCTCTCACAGGAGCTTGAACATAATACCAGAATGTGGTTGATGGAGACGCTGAGACAGAGAGAACAAGTAGTGTGGTATAGATTATTTCTCATGTTCCCTCCAGTTCTTTGTACCAAACCCAACTTATGTATCGTTCTTGGAAACCTACTGTTTTATTTCATTTTATGACTCCCCCCAACTCCCACATTTCACTATACTCCACAGTTAGATTTAAAATGGAAGCATGAAGAATGATAACCTTATCCCTTCCAGGAATCTTGGATCTAAACTTCTCTAGCGCCTCTGTCTGTGTTGCAATCTGGTGGCCCAATTGTTAAAAACTGGTGTTTTGGGTCCTATCCTGGTCTCCTGTGAGGGATTTTGGATTAGGGGAAATGATAATTTCATAACATCTTATATTCACTTTTTCTTACAACCATGATTCCGTCTGTCTAAGATGCTTTCTGATTTTTTTCTTTTTTTGAGGGAGGGTCTCATTCTGCTACCCAGGCTGGAGTACAGTGGCATGATCATGGCTCACTGCAGCCTCCACCTCTCTGGCTCAAGTGACCCTACCCCTTCAGCCTCCTGAGTAGCTGCTACCACAAGGGTACACTACCACTACCAGCTAGTTTTTAAATTTTTTCATAGAAACAGGGTCTCACTATGTTGCCCTATTTTTAAAATTATTTTTAAAAACTCTCAATGGAGTCATTCAGATAGAAGTGAAAATGTGCCTGCCTCCTCTCTTCCAGGTCACATGTCTCAGGGAAGAGATCTACTACTCAACTAATGCAGCCACAAACTAAGCCAAGCATTCAGATTTTGCCCAAACTCTCCCTCCCAATCTCATTGTATCATGCTGCCTTAAAGTATTTAGAAGTGATGTCTCCCCACACCAACTTCTCTTCCCTTCGCTACCCTTCCCTTCCTTTTCTGTCCCTTCCCTTTCTCCTTTTCTCTTTCTCTCTCTGTGTTTCTCATTCAGGACTTCATTTGTTGCATCCATTCTTGCAACAATCTTACAAATATTTTCTTTTCTTTCCACATTGGCCCTCTTCAACTTGTTCTCCACGTTGCCATCACAATGATTGCCCTAAAATATAAATCTGATCATTTCTTCCCCGCTCGCTGCAGAAAATATGTTACTGGCTTTCCCACTGCCTACTGGATAGATTCTACCTTTTCAGCATGGCATTCAAAACTCTTCACAATTAGGTCTCTATAATCCTTTCTTTACCACCTTCTTTTCAAACTCAATGTCCTGGCATGCCAAACCCTCCCTATTTCTAGATCTCCACACACACAGTATTGCTATGATGTCTTTATCCATGAACTTCTTCACCCAGTCAGTGTCTGTGTACCATTTCTTCCCTACTCAGAAAGTTCTTTCTTTGCAAACCCTTCCTTAATCATTTTCACCTCCATAGGTCCCTACGAATTCATATGTATTCCTTGTGCACACCTTGTAAGCCTATTTTTTTCTCATGCTTTTGGCTATCTTGTCCACTAGACTGTATGCTTTCTCAAAAATAAATGGATGAGTTTCACTCACAGATGCATGTCAGTGCTTAGGACTGTTCCAGTGGTTAAAAAAAAAAAACCCTGAATTTATGAATAAGTCAATGAATTAATACATTCTTGGCAAAACCCATGACGTTCTGGCCTACTATAAATTACTGTGTTAAAGTTGAGATTCTGCTTTAGTTTAGGATATAGATATCTATATATATGTCCATATATCTACATCTATATGTCTATATCCATGTATATCACTGATTTGGGGAATAAGCTATACTTATTAACAATGTTATTGTGTTAGGTCTTCAGTATCTATACAAAAATGGAAAAAGTACATGTATGTTTCTAAGTATCTATCCAATAATCAGAACACACACATACGTATGGATGGATATATGTTTTTTCTATTATTGGGTATAGGTACCTATTAATAGATAAGTGTATATCTGTGTACCTATCTTGTTGGTAAAAGGTGCTTTTATACATATTATTTCATGTAGTCTCCACAAGAAGCCCACAGGAAAGGTAATTTTAATCTCAGTTTAACAGATTCACAGAACATAACTGACTTTACAACAAGGCAAAGTTTGTGAGGATAGAGTCTTTACACGAAACCAGGTCCCCAAATTGGTGTCTATCACCTTCCCTATTATTGGTCATGCTGCCCAAGTATCCTTCACATCATCGTGGCAGGCTTCATGCTTCGGTTTACTGCCTAAAGCAGAAGCAATTAGGAGGATATCCTATGTGTTGCAGACACTATTTTTTTCCTTCCATAAATGAATTAATGGACCATGAAAGAATTTTAAGAAAAGCTAACTTTTCTGGCCAGGCAGAAGAATCACCATGTAATATTGTTGTGAAGACTACGAGGCCCCACACATTAACTCAGCTAATCATTACAGTATTACATGTCGATTATCTGTTCCATTTTGCAGATGCAGAAATGGAGGCAAACCATTAAAATACACACCTAAAGTCACATGCAACTTGAACCCAAGCAATCTCATTTTAAAATCCGTGTTCATTGTCACAACACTCTATGATGCCCTCTGATCTTTGCATTGCCAAATTAAATCCAACTTTCTCCAACTCAACTTTAAGTACAGGGGCCATACCCCCATCCTCGCCCCATGCAACTTGAAACTCCCTCGGAAAGATAACCTCCTGGACCCTGGAAATGAAGAGGCGTATTTAAAAACAAATGCCTCATCCTGGGCACAACTCCAATGTTTTATCAAACTCATGAACGTATAAGAATAGAAGAAAACAAAAAGCTTTCATCGATCCTCTCTCAACCATACCCTGAGCATAAAAGAGGTCCTGTACTTTACAGAGCTGCATTCCAATGTTTGCTGCTCTTAAAATTTTTTTTTATATCATTGCTTCCCAGTTGACTGACAATAACGCAGATACAGGGACTGCTGGAGATCATGACCTTAAACAGTTAAAGATGTTTGCATATACTGCAGCATGTTTGGTGTAGAGGGTATCTAGAGAGTCCTAAAAAAGCAAAGAGGAAGAAGGTTTGCTGTGCGCGTCTGGTGCTGTGGCACCGTGTGCCATGCCCACCTGCTCTATCTCCCGGGTACCCGGGATCTCTCCTTTACAGCTGGTTTGCACTGGGATTAGCTGTTCTTTGCATGAGGTTGTAGCTGTGGATGTGGTTTCTGTAGTGATGGGGCCGACTCCGGAGATCTATTGGCTGCTGGCTTTGTAAATTTCATTCAGTTTGGTCCAATGGCAGAGGGAGAGCCCCGGAGACAGCAGGACCTCTCTCCTCAATCTCTCTTTTTCTTGCAGAACCGTCTCTCTCCCTTCTCTGTCTCTTAGCACAGAGCTCTTATTCAGCCACTAGCTCGGCCCTTCCTGCTTCAATTGTAATGCTTGTTCTGCCCGTCCACAGACCATTGACGGCAGAAACAACGAATTTCCTCCAAACTAGGCGGTGTTGGTGGCTCTTGCATTCCTCTGGATGAGCAAATCTAGTTGGGGGGCTCCAGAAGGGGAAGGCTCCTGGGCTTTCAAAACATCCTCCTGAATCATACCTCGTTTCGAGTTCCCTAGAAAAATCTGGACGTGTAAAAAGAACTCTTAACAGCCGATGCAGCTCTTCCAAAGCTAAGGTAGGTGTAGTTTTAAGACGTGTCTCTGGGATATTATTCTCCTTATTTTAAAAAGCCGTTTAAACATTTTGACTTACAGTGGTTTTCCAGCAAAGGATGGAAAGCCTCACTGCAGATACTTGAGTTTCACTTTATTTGATCTTTTTTTTTCTTTTATGATTATTAATATTATTTTTGGAAAATTTGAACAGGACTTTCTCCTATCTGTCTCGCTCCATTTCTTAGGTGTGGGTGGGAGTGTGGACCTTCATACGGCTTTTACATGCAACCTCTCCACAGAAATACTTGGTTTTATTTTCACTTAAAAAGAAAAATCCGGAATACCGTTGTTTGGAAGCGTTTTGCTGCAATCAGCTATTTGAACGGCTCTGGGGCCGTGTGTGATGTGTTTACAAAGTAGCGCTGCCTTCCATACAAATAAACAGAAGATTGTGGCGGGGAGAGGGGAAAAATATATATATGTATCTGCAGTACAGGGAGAGAAGGAGCGAAGCGGTCAGGGCTGGAGATGGTGAAGGCAGGAAGACTTCTGCAAACTGTGAGGCATGGGAGGCTTTTCTTTTCTTTTTCTCCCCCCCACCCCCCACCCCCTTCTTCTTTAAGAAAACTGTCAGCTACCACCGCCTGGGGTGCTTTTTTGCGGGGTTGGGGGAGTGCGGTTAACCAGAGAGAAAAAGGGAAAACAGGCTTGGTCGGGGTTGCATTAAGCGATTTTTTTTTTCCCTCCTTCATCTCCGGGCCTTGGATAAGATCACGGCTTGGGTGATGCACGAAATAACGCACGAGACTGATTAGACCTGGCTTGGCTTGGCTGGGCTAGGGAACGATCCAGGCGCGCTGGAGACCCCGCGTGAAGACGAAATGACCGTAGCTCCGCGCTGCTTCTGCAAACCGGGGAGCGGGCTCCATGCACCCCTTTCCCGTGTGTGTGGGTTTCGAGGCGGGTGGGAAGGGTGAGGCAAACCGCAGAAAGGGGTAGAGCTGGTGGTTTTGCTTCTTCGGGAGCCTTTGAGTGTAGTCTGAACCTTTGAGGGGGGCGCTGGGGGGCTTGCAGCTGCCGCCCTGGGAACCATCTCTGAACTGCCCGCTTATCCGGAGGAGCGGAAAAGTTGGAAGCTGCGAGGACAGACGACCGGAGCCCTTGTCTGGGTCTCAGGGGATCTGGAGCCCTAGTCGGTGCCCACTGAGAACACCCCTTCTCGGAGTGGGGGTGTCGGGGGGAGTGTTAAGCCTGCGGGACGCACGGTCCGCCAGTCCCCTAGGTGGGGACGGGGAAGGAGGCTGAGGAGTAGGTTCCAATAGGCGCACCACCCCCACAGCCCTGGAAAACGCAACCGCCACCCCCTCTTCCCTCCCATCCCATCCCAAGGCTCTCTGCTGTCCCGGGCCGATTTCATCTCGTCTCTTACCCCGCCTCCCCGCCTCTCCGCCTGCCAATTCCCGCGCGGCTCGGCTCGGCCCCTTCCCACTCCAGTGGGCAGAACTGATGGAGAAGATCCGCCAAGCGCGCAGCCAGAGGCGGGGGAGACAGTGGCGGGTGGGCGAGGGGCTTCTAGACCACGCAGGGAGAGAGTGAACTTCAGTCCCGCCCCCTCCCCAAGGCCGCGGCTGGGGCGCCCCCAGCCCGCGCTGGCACCCGCGTGGCCTGACCAGCGGAAGAGCGAGCAGGGATGAGGTGGGGAGAGGGAGGTAGGTGCCGCTCGGCTGCAGATGATGCGTGGGCGGGGGGCTTGCTGTGGGAGGAGAGGCCCAGGTCCCGGCCTGCGCCCTCCACTCCGCGGCTGCTCCCTCCGCCTCTGGTTTTCCAAGAGGCCGGTCGCTACCCCGGGGGATGCTCTTATCTTCCAGTCGTTCTCCTGGACACCCCTTCCTCCTCCTCTCCCTCAACCTGACCTGGCTTTTTCGCCCCTCCGAGAACCGGTAGGCTGGGGTCCCTCGGCGTGGTTCTCCTAGGCCTCACCCGGAGCTTTGCGTTCCCGGTACCGGGGCCCCGTGCACCGTGCAGCCCTGGGCCCGGGCGCACCATTCCGGCGCCTGCTCGCCGCCAGACACAGCAACCTTTCTTCCCGGAGAGGCGGGGGCGGGAGCCGGAGGCGGGGGGTCAGGTCAACCCTTGCACCCCCGAGGCCTGGCCCGGGCCACCCTGGGAACGGATGTCCTGCATGGAGGCCGAGGGGCACCCGGAGGACGTCCTCCGCATCGTACCCCTCCCCTTCCCCAGAAGGCTTTTTTTTTTTTTGTACTGCGGGTTTCTTTTTCTCTGGCTTCTTCCTCTGCACCTACGGCAGGTGTGAGCCTTTTTTTATGTATGTGCTGCTGCTATCTCGGGGATGCGGGGGAGGGGGTGCAGAAGGCAGCGTGGAGGGGTCCTTGGAGGTTCCGGCGGGGTTTTGGCCTCTGCGGTGCGCCCGAGCTTGCAACTCGCGCGGGCGCTGGGCGCGCGCGTCACGAATTCAGCCTAGGGCTTGGGCGAGTCTGCGGGGAGCGAGGACGGAGGATCTTGATCTGTCATTTGGACCCAACTTAAGAAATTTGGGGTGGGGGTTGGGTGGGGGTTTTGGAACTAAGCAGGTGATGTTCTTGCGAGCTGAATCCACAAGGTGGTAGTATGGCTTCTTCTTCTTCTTTTTAATTTATTTTACTTTATTTTGTTTCTATTTGGTCATTTTTTTGTGGGGGGCGGTGGTTTGTTGTTGTTGTTGTTGTTGTTGCTCTTATCTCATGCTTTTTGAAGGCATCCGTTGCCCGTAGGGTTTACATCGGAGCGCATTGCATTATATTTTCTTAAAAGGGGGTGGTGTGCGTGAGCTCCCATCTCAGAATCAGCCCTTCCTGTGATGTGAGGAAGGCGAAAGCAAAAGAAAAAAAAAAAAAAAAAGAGAGAGAGAAAGAAAGGAAAAGAAAAAGGAAAAGAAAAAGTTTAGGAAGACCTCGTTATCCTGACGAAGCAGAATTGCCAGTTTGTGTGGGCGTTCTGCGGGCGACATAGAAGTTCATGCTTAAGAAATCCGGGGTAGTTTCCTTTTTCAGCTAGAAATTAAACGGCCAGGGTGCAAACACCTGACTTTGATGAGAACAAAGCGGCAGAAACTGCAAGAGACCTGCATAGTTTGAATGGACACACTGAGCCTTTTCCTAGGGGATGGCAGAGCGGGGTGAAATCAGAACGCAAAGAAATCTGCAGTTTTATGGGGGCACATTTGGAGAGTGGAGAATTATTTCATACCTTTAGTTGGCTGTGGGGAAGATGTTAGCAGTAATCCATTAAATCCTCAGCACAGATTTTCCTGTGAAAATGTGCAAAATGTTAAGAGGGGGAGGGATGGCTAATGGCACATGGTTGCATTAATTCCTGTATTTCCAGAAAAAAATATGGAATTTCTGTGTATCCTGAAATTAAGAATATAGGAATTTCATGGAGACCTCTGCAAGCATGCATTTTCTCAGATTAGAAATTCAGTATTTTATTACTCAATGAAATGTAGAATGCGTGTGTGTGTATGTGTGTGTGTGTATACAGACATACACGCACGCATTCTACATTTCTACATATGTGTGTGTGTGTGTACATGTGTATATATATATACATATGGCCATTTTAAAGAGTATTTTCTTTGACATGTAAGAACATAATCAGGGCCAGTTGTAGCAAGTGTAAAATTACTTCATCAGTTTTAAGTCAGTGGATTAAAATGGGAGGCTTGATTTTTTTTTTTGAAACCGGAATAATAATTACATTTTCATAATAATACCTGTGCAGGGATGCAGTTTTAAAGATGCTTTGATGTTTTCTTCTCCGGTGGAAGAATTGTTGCTTTTCTTTGTGTTTTATTTAAGTAAACTAATGTTGAATATACAGTTGGCCCTAAAACCAGTAACCTAGCTGATTTTTACCCAAACCTAGGAATACAACAGATATTTGATAAGGGACTGGTGGGTGCATAAGGTAGATAATGAAGTTATCTTGATGCTGTGAAATTTACAAGCAGACTTGAAGGAATTTGAAAGTTCATAGTTGTTGGCCTGGAATGTAGACTAATGGTAAATATATAGATTTTTTTTAAATGTGTGAACTTGGCTATTTCATTGTTTTGTGTGTAGTAATTTGTGGAAAGCTTATAGTCTCTCCACAAAGATGAGACTGTTGACTGACTCCGCAACGGAGACTTGCTTTTGGAAGTGCAGGGGTCTCTTTAAAAGCCATTTGGAATACTGTGCTTTTATTTCTAGACCACAACCAAAAGGTTCTCACAAAACTAAACATTCAAGTGCATGAGGGAATGACCTCTGTTTAACATTCTTTCTTTTTAATTGGTACGCCACATTTCAAACCTTTCGTAATACTGTTGAATATCGTCAGTAGTGCAACTTGTTGAGCGAATGCATTGCATTCAGATGAAGTAGCAATATACAAATATTTTAAGTCATTTAATATCCTCCTTCTAAAGATACTCTTATCTGGTTAAAATATACTTAAATTCCACGTATGGTGAGAGTTGGTCTTAGAATGTGAATGTCAAGTGTAAGAGACAGAATTTCAGTGTGTAAACCGGAATGTATTCTTTCTGTATTGCTTTCTGACTTTTAATATTTTAACAATGCTTTCCCCTTTTAAAAACGGGGAACTCTGTTCGGTTTAGTTTAAATCTGTTGCTCTTTTTGTGTGTGTTTTTGTCTGAATACTGCACTTTTTCGGAGGACAGACTTCGTCTCCTGCTTAATTATGTGAATGGATACTCAGACAGATTTGAATAGCCACCACTGATATCTTAAACTCCTGAGCTACCAGTTTGAAATCAAAGATACAGCTTTTGCAACAGTCAGTTAGAGAAAGTGAGAATCAAAATTGAAGCCCAGGCTGTTGAGGCAGTTAGGTCATCTGCTGTGCCCTCTACTACCATTCACTCAATGAATATTTTACAGTTTTGTCATTTTTCTCTAAACAACCTACATTTGGACTTTGAAAGTCTGCACTGTTCTTTGTTAAGTGAATGACAATG